TGGAATCTATTAAAACTGAATTACACCAAGTTAAATCAGATTTTGATTCAAGACTAGGTGGTGATTCAAGCTCGATTGATGAAATAAAAACTCAATTATCAAGTGCCAGAGCTCAATTACAAGCTAATCTTTGGGAAAAGAATCGTAGCGATATAACCATTTCTGAATTGAAAAGTAAATTGGATGGTTTATTGGCCAGTAAAGGTGATTATTTAACTATCACCACTAATATCGTTAATTAGCATTATTTATATTAATATTAATCTTGTTTCATTATTTTATTATTGTAGATCAATCTAACCTATTGGAATCTCAAAATCAAAAATTACGTTTAGAACTTGAACAAACTAGAATACAAGGTAGGAATCAATTATCATTATAATAATTAATAATCATATATATATATATATACATATGCACATGCAATTTATGCATACATCTTACATCTTCAAAATTATAGTCAAGAACGTTGAAAAATTAATGTCCGACAATGAGAAATTGAGAGCTGAAAATCAAAAATTACAATCAGAAATTGGTCAATCTAGAGCACAAGGTAGGAATTGATCTAATATTATAATAACAATAATATAGATTAATACATGTACATGCAACTTATACATCTTACACATTCAATATTTACATGATTATATAGTCTTACCCGACAATGAGAAATTAAGAGCTGAAAATGCAGAAGCTGTCAAAAACGATAAAACTTCTTCTTCTTCACATAAATATAACGGAATAAGTATTAATCGCTCAAACTCAAATATCAGTTCTTCTGATGATTCAGAAACGTCACCAACGTCTCCGCAATCATCTAACAAGAACAATCCTAATATTATTAAGAACAATACTAACGTTAATGGTAACGTCAATGGTAACATTAATGGCAGTAAAGTTAAAAAAAACAAACGTAAGAGTGTCGTGGAACCATTACATACTAGTAATGTAGAAACTACCGATCAAACAAATGATTACCCCAAACCTACCCCAAGGCCCAAAAAAAATGATAGTAACAATAACAGCGGCGAAGGCGAATGGATCACTGTTCAAAAAAGAAGAAGCATCAGGGTAAGGAACAGCATGGTAATAGCATAAAAAATATATATGTAAAGGTGATTTGAGCTTTTTATTATCTACTTGTTAAATTTGCTAAATAGTATTGTCTTCAATCAAAAAACCCTCTCGTAATTAACACTCCTTCCTTTCCTTTCTTTCCTTCCTTTTCTCCCTTTCCTCCCTTTCTCCCTTTCCTTTCTTTCCTTTCTTTCCTTTCTTTCCTCCCACCTACTTATTGTCTTTCTGTTTTCATGTCATGTCATATCATATCAATATTATCATTACCCCAATTTCATTTCCTTCACTTTACTTCTCCCCTCACCCCAATTCTTGTTTCGATCTTTACCTTTTCCCTGCAAAAAAACTCAACAAAAAATTCAAACTAATAGGTACTCCTCGCTTGTTTGGGTCTATATTTTTTATCATTTTTATATTATTATTATTTAAATAGTATTTGTGAAGAAGAAGATAAAATTACCGATTTAAGAGAGCTATATTTTAATTATAATAGTTTTTTAAATAATTCTGTTTTAAATTCATTTTATTCTGTCAAAAATTTTATTATTGTATTTTATTTTAATTACATCAATGATTACATATCTAATATATTTAATTCAATCAATCGTTATTATTATTATTTTAATAATAATAGTAATAGTAATAATGATGATGATAAATTTTTTAATCCTTTAAACAATTATTTTAACATTATAATTGACAAAATTAATTTTATTTTTAATAATAATGATGATAATTTTAATGTGGATAAAGGAATCTACTAATTTAATTTAATTTAATTTAACTTCATTTTTTTTTTTTGTGTATAGTGTAAATATCACATTTTTTATAGCATTATTTTTTAAAATTTAATGGGGATTTTATAATTAACATTTTTTACCTTTTGATTTATTAAATATTTTTTTTGGTGTGGTTTGAAAAAAAATTCAATTATGCACATTGGTAACCAATTAATTAGTGTTAGGTCAGGAGGGGTTAGGTTTATAATATTAGAAACAGATTATTGGGTTAATTTTTATATATACATATCATGACAATTTTTATTTTAATTTATATATATATATATCATTATATTTTTTTATTTATTCCAGTCCATATAGATTAATAATATATATCCATTTTTCTTTTTTTTTATAATAAATAGAAAAAAAATTTTAGTATTATTCATATTCATATTGTAACTGTGTTACACTGACCTTTACCTAAATAAAATGCCTTTATTAAAATTGCTGCTGTGCTACAACGTTAATTTCAGACAGACAAGGGAATCAGCCGTACCCTTATCTGTCTGTTTGTCATTTCATGTGTCTCTCTACCTACATCTTCAATCGTATGATTGTAAAAAAATTACGCGCGTAAATATAATTCAACAAGATTTTTTCTATCAAACAAACACACACACACATTAGAGAAAAGTCAATAATACAAAGAAAAGAATTTGTTTAAACTTTTAGGAAACAAAAATTTTTTGTGCGTAATAATTAAATAATTGAGCAACTGATCAATTAAGATAACATATTAAACACGATTTACATGAAATGAAATAGTACAAACGAAATGTATTAATTAAACTTGAAAATTTAGAATTACGTGTTTTTATTGTGAAAGAAATTGCTAAACTCGCATCCATCAATTAAAAAATCTAACATTTTTGCTCAAGGTTTCCAAATAAAAGCTACCATCTCTCACTGTAACCAAAAAAGTTGTTCCAAAAATATCGCGAAGCCCAAGTAATCGTTAAAGTTACCTTATTAAAAAATGATTTCTGACCGGGAACCCCCTCAGATTCTGAATCAAAAATCGCATCATCATCATCATCACCATCATGATTTATGATTTTTAAAAACCCCAAATCTCGATATTTTATTAACAAAGCATCCAACTCATCTCTTTGTGTTAGTGAAGGGATCGCTCCTTGTTTCCAAATGTTCAATGTAAAAGGCACAGTCCCTTTCCAATTTTTCATTAGAGTTTGCAAGGAATAATCCGAGATGGTAATTTTATAATCAATGGTCATTGATTTTAAATTTTCGGGTAAAGTTTGGTTTAAAACACCCAATATCCTATTACCATCTAATACATAACCAAACTGGAACTCTTTGAATGAAATGGCTTCTAGCTTGACACAATTATTAAACAAGTTTGCTAACTGTTGATCTGCTCCATTTCTGTAAAATGTAACCAAATGTTCTAAATCATGACAACATTCTCCGATTAGTTGTATCAGTTCAATGTATCCATCTTCGTCATCAGTCGTATTGCCAGAAATGATAAGACATTTAAGATTCATTCCATTATTCTTGATAAATTCTGTCAAATCCGATAAATATTCCTGTTCAGTAAGCAATAAATGGAAATACTCGAGATTTGGAAATGTGTGATGTTTCATTATTCCCATGTCAATGTAATCTCTCAAGATTAGAAATTTCAAGTTTTGAAATGATGATATCACAAAAGATTCTAAATCGTGATTTCCGTTGCTAAAATAATAAGTTATGGATTGTGAATGAATCGAAATCGCCTCTTTGAAATCATCCGAAAAATCGACTTTGATGTTTGAAATAACAGCCAATTCTTTGATTTCGTTTTGTGCTTTTATTAATCGGGCGAGGCCACGGTCAACATTTATCTCGTATGAATCTTCCACGTTTATGTCTAAAATTTGAATATTTTTACAAACGTCTGCCAATCTATTGAAAAATTCTGCCCCGTTTGAAGAACAACATTCCAGCCTGAAAAGATTTTGGAAATTATCATCGAATCTATAGTGATCGATAAACAATTTAGAATTTTGATGATTCTTGATGAAATTAATGACTGAATGATCCAATATAAAATATAATAATTTTTCTTTAAAACATTTGAGTTTGTCGACTTGATCACCAAAGTCACCACTCCCACCTATCAAGTTTTCAACATTATTATAATAACACCAGACGTCTATTTCGTTAATAAATTTAGCATAGTTGTGTAATGGTGGGTTTTTCAATAAATTGAAATTCAATTCAATCTCATTTTCCACCAAGAAATCCTTTTCTTCTTCCAACAAACAGTTAATTATTATCTTCAAGCTGTTTTTGTGAGAAATGGATTTTCTCCATAACAATGGAATGCTGTTATTATGCCATTGTCTATTAACAAAAATGCAAGAATATATCGTTTTATAATCGTTTTCAAAATATCTGAACGTGTATAACAAAAGTTCATTTGGTAAATTTGACATTTTTTTTTTTTATATTAAAGAGAAGAACGTGTAACACGGATGAGTAATTTATCAATTAATCGACCAATTAAAATCCAAATTGGTTTCTATGGGCCACCCACCCATAATGGGGAAATTTAAATTCTATTTTTAAATCGAGTTTTTTCCCACATTGTTTGATGATGATGTAACATCGTCTTTAAACGAATTTCCAAAATACACACACAAGCCGAAACAAATAAATAAATAAATAAATAGAAAAAATCTCCATTAAGTCATAAATAAAAAATGTCCGTAAAGAAATAACAAACACTACGTACATTGTGGGTAGTGGTGCATACACAGATCTCAAAAAAAGTAAAGGATCATTACAAAAAAATTCATATAAATTTTGGGTGTTTCTCCAAAAAAAATTTTTTTTTTCTTTTCTTTTTTTCTTTGGGCAATTAATTTCTTGTTATCTTTTTTTATTGATGATATTTTTTTGTGTGTGTGTATATATATATTAATAAAGTGTGTGGGATTTATTTATAAGGAGTTTGGACATTTTTAACGATATAGAGAAACAGCATTTTTTCAAAAAAAATATTTTTTTGAAATATTTGCTCCTTGTAAATAAATATCATTCATTGCATTATCATCATCATATCATCCATCATCATAATTTTCTTTTTTTTATATATATATATATACACATTTGTAAATAATAAATAATATAATAATGGACTCCTCAAGGAAGATCGATGCACCACAAAATTGTCTGTAAGTAAATGATTGATTGATAAATTTTATAAATATTTTTGTTCGAGTTCCTAATTATTGTTTTTTTAAAAAACATTTTTAGATGGACACTGACAATTGTAAATTGTGTAGACCAAGGTTATTATCAAGCAATATATGATGTAACAATGTATTTATCATTGATAGTATTTCTATGCGCAGTTGGACTATTATTATGGCGTCAAAATAATAAAGCAGATGCAAGATTATTTTCTATAAAAGGGTTTTTGGCAATAGAAGGGTTTCTTTTCACTCAAATATTTTGGGGCATTTGTAAGTACCAAAATATTATTACTTTAAAAAAAAACATTTAAATGGTATATATTAATCGTAATTATTTTATTTCTTCCATGATAATTACGCAGTACGAGTTGTTGATTGTGTCGTATTAACATACGATTATTTACCAACAAATATGATTTTGCGAGAAATGTTATTTGCCATTTCTTGGTTATTGGGTTCAATATCGGTAACAACATATTTAGCTGGCATATTAAGAACAATACCAAGAATACGTTTCTATCGACAAAAATCAGATCCAAATTATAAACAAAAACTTAACCTACCAAGTCTTCAAAGTTTAGCCATCACCTACTTTTGTTACATATCTATAATAGGAATCATAGTCACAACATGCTCATTTTTCATTGGCTATTTTGAAATGTATCCTGACTCTCATCCAAATTCAGCAATGATAGCATCCATTATGAAATTGACCGAATATGGCGTTTTTGCGATTTGTTGTTTCTTGATATCATTTGGATTCATAATGTATGGTAATAAATTGATCAGTATAGCAGGCGAAGGGTTAGATCTATTGGAAAGTGTAAATGACTATCAAAGTCACATCAAATCAAAAAGTTCTCATAATACTGGCTATAGTTTATTAGGATTAGAATTGGAAATGAAGCATAAAAGATTAAAACGTAGTGTTTACAAGGTGGTTATCAATAATATTAATTTTATCATTTGTCAAAAAACTCCATATTTACTAATGATGAAAATAATTTTATTTTTTCTACAATAAATATAGATGCATATAATAAACATGTCATTTATTTCTTCTATACTAATTTTGGGAATAATATTAGCTACTTCTGCAATCTTTTTCCAACAAACATATGAGAATCTAATCATTAATAAAATATTTGCTGCGTTTACTAATTTATTTCCAATGTTGGTAAATGTTGCTGTAATGGCAGGAATAGTATACGGGTAATTAATGGATTCATTTATTTTATTTAATCTTAATTTATTTATTGGTCAAAAGAAGAAAGATATTGATTTTTTCTCTTTCCATCTTTATTTTAAAATAGTGAAATGAAGGTTCCTAATAAATATGAAGATTTTGATATTTCCTCCACACCAACAAATAGTCAACCGCCACCAAGAGAATCAATAGATGCTCATATGAGAAATCCTTCGGCTGATTCAGAATCTCCTTTATTATCATTTCCTTCACCTGCGGTCTTGTTTACAACGCGTCATCATCATGGCAGTAGTGATGGTGGTGGCGGCAATGTCAACTTTGGTAGTAATAATGATGTTAGCAGTAATAATTTTGTTAATTATGGTGATGGAATAGGGAAATGTAGAAGACCTTCAGTTGTTACAACGACGAGTTCTTTAAATTCACCAATAAATTTGACTCCAATGAGAATTAATTATTCTTATATTTAATTAGATTTTTAGAAATAAATCCAAAACAATTCTCTATTTCACACACAATCAAAAAAAAGCTAATACACAAATTAAATTAAATTGAAAAATTAAAATTTTTAATAAAAAAATAGAATAATTTTGATTGATTTCTTTTTTCAATCCTCACCCACCTTTCATGTATTTTTATAATTATAACAATATCATTCATTCATTATTTACTCATTTATTTATTTCTTTAAATTATAATTATTATTATTATTTTATTTTTGTCCTTTAATAATTTTAAAAATGTAAAATAATGTACATTATTCAAAGAAATCTTACATCATCATCATTATTATTATCATCTAAAAGTTCTAATAAATAAAAAAATAAAAATTTTTATTTTGTGAATATTAAATAAATTAATCAATCTAAACCTAATGTTTTCAATTTCACAAAATAAATTTGATTCAACTGGTATAACAGTATCATCTGCGTGTGCTAACTGATGGATCATGGCATATGTCAAATACTAATAAAGATCCATATAAAGAATATATATATACGGATAGAAAAAATTATTGAATTTTTTTTTTTAAAAAAAAAAGGTTTTCAATCATGCAAGAGTGTTTGTTGGAAGGTGGATAATAAAAATGGGTTGATGAAAATAAACCATTAAATGGTGGTTCGATCATCTTTATTTTAAACTAAAGTAATGTCCTTCCCACGAGTCAGATTACTTATTTGGCTTGTGAGTTGGCTTATGTAGAGCTTTGTAATAAATAATAAAGGTTGATAATTTGATTTCTTTTAGCCTAAAGTTTATAAATTATCAAAAGTAAGAACTGTCCTTATAAGAGCTTGTGAACAAATAATAAAAGGCGTTAAAGAAGGACCTGCCAACAACAAGGGTAACTTTTATTATTAAAATATCACTGGTTATTCATTTTCTTTGTTTAATGTAGATTTAATGGAATGGCGTCAAGTGAAATAACAAAAACAATAATAATAACCAAGATTGCCGATAATATATAGTTCATACTCGAAATTAAAAATTTTCAAATAGTCGTTATAATAAATATCTGAAAAAAGGTCTCTCGTTTTTTTATCAAAAAAGACCATTTCTCAATGGGTTGAAAATATTATAATCGTACTGTTTAAAGCAACACATCCATATTGTGTACGAATTAAAAATTAAAAAAATTAGCAGTGATTATGATGATAAAAATGTCAAAACAATTGGTTGTAAAAGTAAAAACAACAAAAATATTTGCTAACTTATTTTCAAGTATCATCAGCACCATCAGAAAATAACAAATAATGATGAATTTGAACTTCAACCATGTTCTGGTTGAAGTGAAGAAGATTTAAAAAAATATACCTGTTGATTCTGGTGGTTCACGTAGGTTGGAAGTCGTTGCAAAAATTAGAATTTTTTAATAGAATTATTATTAATATTAAAATTTTTTTGGGCCTAGTGAACATATGCCATATTCAATATCATTCATTACCTTTGATAAAGTGTTTGACCCAAAACCAAAAAACATCGTTGGACTCTTTGAAAAAAAATAATTGAATCAAAATCAATTGATCTAGAAAAACCTATTGTAGTGGGTTACTGCTTTAGAAAAATTGGTAACAAAAAAACTTTCTGTTTACGACTGAATATGCTAGTAAAAAAGGTCTATAGTTGGAAAAAAATAAGACATTTAACACTTTTTTAAAATAACTTAATTTAAAATTTGTAATTTCTTTCAAACTATTACTTTTTCCAACACATTATTATAATTAAAAACAAAAGATATTGTTTCGTCAATACCAAATACAGAACTTTAAAAATTTTTTACTCCATCACCTGAACATCTTATAATAATAACAATAACTCTTCAAATTATAACACTGCCAAGAAAAATTGAAATCGACATCTGATTCAATGTTTAGGTCAAGATCTTTTAATTCATCACATAATAATAACGATGTTGAATCATCATCCTTTGAGTTAATGACAATTGATTCTTCTGAGTTATCAAATTTCAAGGAGGAAACAGCATTGTTATTAAAATAATAACGATAATAACTTTAATAACTTAACCACCGAGTCTAGGTCTTGGATTAATTGGATCTAGACCTAACACTCCACATACTATTATTATTATTAATAACAGCAACAACTACAATAATAATAAAGAATATCAAAGGTTCTTTTATTGAAATATACAGTACCCTACCAAAAATGGAAATAGCTCAAATTTTTGTAACGTCCTCGTGACAGTTATCTGTATGTCACGATTAAACTTGTGAGGCTTGGGGTGGTAGGAGTTATGGAATGCTTACCAACTCCAAAAATAAATTCTTATTTGTCACTTAGGTTCTGTATATTTCATAAAAAGAACCTTTCTGTATATAGGATGACCCTAATAATAATCTACAAAATGAAAAACTGCAAAAACCGTTTTTTGCTTATTTTTTTTAAAAAAACCATTTTTTGTTAAAAATTTATGTTATTTATATATGGCTTGAGGGTCAGATGGTGGTGTTGAGACGTTGTTCTAGGGGCTATTTGGCAGTGTTGAGCTATCATATAAATATATGAATTTTTTTTTTTAATTTTTTTATTTAAAAAAAAATAAAGACTTTTTGCCTTAATATTGTTAATATTGTTACTGGAATTAGAAATTGATAATAATAATCTTTTAGGCGAAACATATAACATTGTGAGCATTTGTTTGTAATTACTGATCCACATAATTATAAATTAAATTTATCAAAGAAAATTTTAGATATTAATTAATCAGCTTCATTATCATGAGATTGTTTTTTGCGTATATATATATGTAAATGATCTATTTTTTTCATAGATGTTACTAGAATTAGGGTTTTATGCCGATTTGTTGGTTGAAATACCTAATTCCGAATCAAATCTTTTATTTCTATTTTTACTTTATTTTTACTTTATTAACACGAAAACATTTGCATGACCACCTTCCAAAATCAGTAAGGCGAGTGACCTTTCTCGCCGATTGTCTCCTTTTGCATCATATTAAAACCCCAATTTAGCAACAAACATCTTGACTTCACCTATTTTTTTGTGTGTACGTAAACAATTGATTGGCTAATTCAAATCACAGTGAAGACTGATTGGTAAAAAAACGCGTTTTTTAATCTTTTTGTAAATCAAAAAAAATAAAAAAAATGTCAACGCATTAAAAGAAAGTGCGACGAAAAGATTAAACGAAAAATACAGTTGATGGTGGAAAATTTATTAGAACATCCAAAAAAACCTTTTATTACGCGTTTACAATCATTTCGTCGACATTCGTTATTTTGATTATATCGAGAGATATGGTCAAGAGAAGAGTTAGGAAGAGAGCTATTTTTCAATCAAGTCGAAAACCAACCCTTTAAATACATTTTCGAGTAGTACAATTTTATTTATTAGACTATTTCAAAGGTTTGTCGCATGGTTGCTTCCAACTATATACTTAAATTCGAACCATTTATGTTAACAAAATGAATCAAACATTTTTATTAACATTTATTTTTAAATTCATGATTTTGATCGGTCAATCAACAATTGCATGGGTTGAAATTTTGTGCTATCAGAACGGTCTCTCCTGTAATAACATTGTATAATGACAAATGATCTCATGGTTTGAACGTAGTGTGCACATTTGTAAACTTGAATTTTATCTTGATCGCTTGAAGATGGACAGGGACGTAGTGGCTGAATGTAGAAGTTCGAGCTCCGTGCCTGAGGGGAATTTCTCTAAGAAAAAAACGAAAAAAAAAGTGGGGACGGCTGTCCTATTTATATGTTTTGGATAGATTATTGTCTTGACCCGAGTGATGTCTTTTTTTTTGCTCTTTGCGACGAAGAAGACGCAAAACCCAACCTAAAATAAATGAATTTTTGTTCTCGCGTAGCATGGCAAAGTGGATGTGTAATGCATAAAAAAGCAAAAGCTCGCATTGCGTTCTCAGTTTTGAGCTTGTATTAGGGAAACATAAAAAAAAAGGAGAAATATTACACAAAATATAACAAATCTACACAGAAATTACGGCAATTAGTAAGGCACCGTAACACGACAACCTTTTCTTCTTTTATATGTTTTAAGGGAAATTCTCAAAAAATCTCTCTCGAATTTTATATTTTATATCTTTATATAATGTCATATAATCATTTATTATCATCAGAAAGGGAGGATTTTGTATTTAAAATTGTTAATAAAATGTATAGTAATGCTAATGTTAATTCTGATAGAGAAAGTAGAAAAGACTATTTTTTTTCATTAGTCAAAAAAAACAAGGAGCTTTCTGAAATTGAAAAAGAATTTTGTAAGCAAAGGTTTATTTATGATTTTGAATTAAAAAATGCAATATATAAATTGGGAAAACCAAAAGAATGTAACAAGTGTAAATCAACAAAATACTCTGATAGATTCTGTGAAGGTTGTATTAGCTTACAACTACAGAGTCTTTTCACCACTTGGACATCTGAAAATAACATAGTTGATGACTTTATTCAACAATGTCAAATGAAATCATCTCTGCCAAACTATATTTTAGAATGGATAC